CATTAATCACTCATCATTCATTCATCATCATCATCCGTCGTCGTCTCGTTACCGAATTTATTCCGTCGTCAAATTCATCATTAAATATCATCATCATCTAATCAGTATTGTCGGTTGTCCAATCATCATATCATCATCATCAATCATCCATGATCGTCGTTGATCGTGATCATCATCATAATATAATCATACTATCATCAGAAAATGATATGAATTATGATTGATCATCATCCTATAATCAATATTATATAATTCCTCATTATCATTTCTTTCATCCTATTACTCACTTATATATTTAATATTTGATTCTCAGCCTTACCTCTAATCTTCTTTCCTCTGTCATTCTGCTCTGTTTTATTCAGCATTATGCTAAACCCTGTCATCTAACATACTCTTTATTTATCTATCAATTAATACAATTATCTATCCTTCATTTATTTGCTTTTTTTTGCCCATTCATTCATTCATTTATCCATTCCATTCATTCTTACCCTTCATTTTATCTTCCTTCCTCATTTAATTTATCATTCTTTTCATTTTTCCTTCAATGCTTTTCTCCTTAATTACAGCTTCGCCTCCCCCTCCCCCCACACTCCGCCTCCCCACTCCTACTCCTCCCTCCCAACCCACATCCCTCCCCCCCCCACCGGAAGCCACTTATTCACCCCACCTCTAACCGCCAAATCCACCCCACCCCTACTCCTCCTATATCCCTCCCCAACCTCCACGTAAATAACATCCTCCGTACGCGTGCTCAATCAACCTTCTCACTACCCCTTCTCACATCCCTCCTCCTACCCCCCAAACACTCTTCACGTGCACCCACGTTCCCTCCCTTCCCCCAACACTCCCTCCTTTCTCCCCCCAACACACATCCTCCACTTCACCCTCCCAACACTCCCACTCCGAACTAAATTCACCCCAACCACCTCCCTCCCTCCCCCAACACTTCCTCCCTTCCAGGGAAGATACTCATCCCCCAAACCACTCCCTTACCTTTTATTAAAAAATAATCTTACGAACATCCTTCACCTCCCACAACACTCCCTCTCCTCCCCCAACGCTCCCTCCTCAATCCCCCCGCCCCCCAACACTCCCTCTCCCCCAACACTCCCTAACATCCCCCAACACTCCCTTTGCCTCCCGCCCAAACATTCCCTCCCCCACTTCCCCCTCCTCCCCCCCACTCCTCCTCCCCCACCCACCTCCCTCCTCCCCACTCCCTCCTCCATCCCACTCCCCTCCTCCTCCCACACTCCCTCCAAATCCTCCCCCCAACAACCTCCTCCTCCCCTCCAAACCACTCCCTCCTCACCCCCAACACTCCCCTTGTCCTTACCCCCCCAACACTCCCTCCTACCCCCCCACTCCCTCCTTTCCCCCACGTCCCTCCTCCCCCCAACCTCCCTCCTTCCCCCCCCAACACTCCCTTCGTTGTTTACCCCCCCACTCCCTCCCTTCCACCAACCCTAACACTCCCTCCTCTCCCCTCCCAACACTCCCTCCCCTCCACCCGCCCCACTCCCTCCTTATACCTCCCCCCTACTCCCTCCCTTATCTCCCCCACATTCCCTCCTCCCCCCCAACACTCACCTCCTCCCCCGACACTCCCGATCCTCAACCCCCAACAGTTCCCTCCTTCCCCCCCCACAACACTCCCTCACCCCCCAAACACTCCTCGCCTCCCCCCAACGCTCCCTCCTTATTCAGCCCCCAAACACTCCCTCCACTCCCCAAACACTCCCCCATCCCCCAACCACTCCCTCCTTCCACCCCCAACACGCCCTCCTATCCCCCACCCTGCACTCCCTCCTCCCCCCCACTCCCCTCCTCCACACCCGCCCCCCCACTCCCCTCCTCCCCCCGAACCCACTCCCTCCTCCCCCCCAAACACTCCCTCCTCCCCCCAAACACTCCCTCCTCCCCTCAACACTCCTCTTCCTCCCCCTAAACACTCCCCTCTCCCACTCCCTCTTCTTCGCCCCCCAACACTCCCTCCTGCCCCCAACACTCCCTCTTCCCCCAACACCTCCCTCCTCCCCACTCCCTCTCCCCCACTCCCTCCTTCCACTCCCTCCTCCCCCCAACACTCCCTCCTCCCCCCCCCAACACTCCCTCCACCCCTCCCAACACTCCCTCCCTCCCTCCCCCCCAACACCTCCCCTCCTCCCCCTCCAAACACTCCCTCCTCCCCCCCACTCCCTCCTCCCCCCCACTCCCTCCATCCCCACTCCCTCCTTGCCCCCCCCCCCAACACTCCTGGCCCCCCACCTCCCCCTGCTAACCCTCCTTACCCCCCAACAATTCCCTCCTCCCCCCAAACACTCCCTTCCTCCCCCAACACCCCAAACATCATCCTCCCCAACACTCCTCCTCCCTCCCCAACTACTCCCTCCCT